AATTTCCCTTTTTGGACAACAGGTGACAATCTGACGGGTCTAAACCGGGCCATGATATCATCAGCTTTAAACGGAACAATTTGTAACGGAACATCAGGAATCTGAAACATTTCTGATCCGCTGCCAAGAGCTTGAAGAAACTTTTGTCATTTATTTGTGATTAGGTCTCTATTATTAGAGATATGCCCTCAACATTGGCAATAGCCATGTAATGCACCCTGGTAATGTTTTCTGGAATGGGTGCTGTTGAAAGCCATCCTGGACACGGGTCATCGTCAAGACCCTGTTTCAATTTCAGTGCCCCACTTCAGCGGAAAGGGGTGGGACATCATCCCCAAAAGAAGAGACTATGTCATCTTGCATCTATGATGGAGTTAGCCCTTTCAATTGCAGGTACTTTATGGCTGCCTTGTAGTCAGTTTTGTCCATATTTGGTAATTCCACTTGGAAGGTTCACAAGATGGTCTGATAAAAGTCTGGTAGAAAGACAATGATAACACCACAGCTGCAGTTTTTATGACTAAGATTCATTAAATGATTGAATTTGTTGGTGGTAAATGTTTGTTTCAATCTGATTGAAATATCCACCTTAGACATAAAACTAATCTATAAGCCAACACTAGTATCACAAAAACTATTTGGCCATCAAATTAACCGGATACACATAACGACGGAAGTAGTCAATTCCAATGGAAACTATGAAAGTAGCAGTATCTAGGCTTGAAAATCTTCAAACTTCAACTCAAAGCTCATAATGATTTTCTTCACAAAATGACATTTTCCTGAAATATGAATTCTTCAATGTTCCGAAGACTTCGCAACTAAAACAGAAGAAAAATATTGCGAACCAAAACTTTATTATGACCATGATTATGGAAAAACTTCATTGGTTTAAGGACCAGCTGGTTGAAAGAATCCTTAATTGTGAACCTAACCTGTTATCCTTGTAAAATGTATTGGTTTCCTTTCTTTCTTTCTATTCGAACTAAGGGGTAACTGATTTTGGACATATTAGGTCTAAAAATCATAGTTGTAGTATTTACATTTACATGTCTGTTCATTTCGAACTTTTATCCTTTTTGACAGATAAAATGGATCACTTATAATATGCAACTATAAGAGCCTCTTGAGAGCTACACCACACTTTCAAGGTAGACTGTTATAATTCTTTAATTCTCTTGACATTTTTACCTGAATGTTAAACCTTGTAAAGCGGAAATGTAATCAAACAGAGTGTACATGTACATAATAATGTTTGATAAAACGATTAATTATGTAACACGAAAACTTACTTAACATTACAGATTTACCTGACAATATAGATGAAGTATAGTCCGAAGCTAACCTGATTGGTTATATCTGGTAAATAGTATGACATTTATCTACTGGCGTAGGTTAGAACTAGGGACGTTTCTCCAAGGTTTCAATCTACTTGAGATTATATTACAATTTGTATCTTTTTTACTTTCTGAAATGTTTAATCTCCATTGTAATCCAAGCAGTTTTCTACCAAAAGTCTGTTCCAAAGATAAATAAGGAATTGTGAGCTAGCGACACCTTAAGGAGAGCAATAGAGCTATCCCACAATTCCTTATTTTATCAAGAAACAGGTTTTACATGACACGATTTGATTGGTTAAAAATACTACCTTTGGGAAAGGCCGTTGGTAGAAAACGTCTTAGATTACCATGTAGATTAAAAAATATCAGCAAAAAAAAATAAGAAACTGCTTTCTGATTTTAATTAAATTATCTAGGGTTTGACTAGGTTTCAAATACATGTATATTCTTGTCCCCATTAATCATTAATGTAATAAAGTATTTAAGAAGATAAAACAATCTGTGGTATCATTTGAAGTGGTATCCTCTTCAAAATTATGTTCAAATTATTCTTTTGCTGGAAAGATATTAAAAACAGCGTTCTTTTCTGATACATCTACCTGACCCACCTGAAACAGATAAAAGATGAAGAAAGTTTTTGATTGAAATGACGCACTAGCACTCAATTTCAGTTGTTTTTCAATTTGTCTGTAGACTAAGTGGTATACATATAGAACGTTGTTTATATTAAGTGTTATGCACTGATGAATGGTCTAGTGGTTATTTTCAAAGTTATTGAGGACTACCATGAAGTTTACTGTTGCGAGCGTGTGTAGACTTTCTCTTTAGGCCTTCACCTTTGAACTAAATTTCTAAATATCTTTGATTAAAGTTGGTAGTTGAAATTTTGTTTAAATGTAACTAGGAAAATTTAATCTTGATAAAAATGTTCAACTATTGAAAGACAGAGCAGAATTTTTCGAATCCTTTAAAATCTGGAATTTGAAAAAAGAATTCCGTTTAGGATAAGTCCAATAGAATCATAGGTTGCCTTGAAGTTTCAAAATACTTTATTAAAACAGCCCTCTATTGTTCTGTCTGAATTTATAGTTTTGGATTATTGAGCATGTGTCATTTGTCTGTTGAAAGTCTGTAATTACAGATTGTGAAAGTATGCTTTGAGTGGTCTGTATGAATTCATACTGAAAGATTTCTCATTCATGTTTTGTAACTCGGGTGTGAATTTTTATTCATATTTTGTTTGCGACACATATGGCAGTTGGTGGAGTAGGTTAATTTCATTCTTAGAGTTGTATTAGACGTCAATTTTGATCATATCCTTTATCGAATTTTTCTGTCTGCAATGTCCTTATAGACCAAAAGTGCGGCAAATAGTTTAGATAAATATTAATTTATTTCATTGACAGAATATATAGTTCATTTCAACCAGAATTAATGTTACAAGAAATTAAGCTCTGGGAAAAATTATCAAGGTGCTGTGGATTTAAGATTACCGACTGGTAAATGAATAATTTACAAATGCCTCGAGGTGGTAGCAATTATTTTTATGTCGTTGATTGAGTGATTTTTTTAAACACGGGTTCTAGAATTTTACTTTTTCATCAATGCTAACAGAGAAAACAAATTAATGAAGAAATTCTAATTTTAGTTACTTTAGATCAATTAATGTTTTCCTAGCTCTCAAACTTGATCTATGTAAACAACTAACCCGGTAATAAATTGTATACGGTGTATTTTTATAATCAATAATAAGTGATAAAGAATACAATATTAAAGAAAAATAAACTTTTCATGGAAGAGGAAAGGTGAGTTTTAAAGAGCTATTGTCTAATTAGTTGTTTTATGAACTAAATTAAAAATAATGCCCCGTATCAAACAGAACAAAAGGTATTATAGACGACGGAAGATAAAACGATGGGAATACGTTCAATTTGAATTATAGCAAAAGCAATATGACATTCTGACTTGTTTAAAGTTAAATATCTGATTAAGCAGTTTGTAGACTCACTGAGTGATATCATTGGTCAATATTAAGAAATCGATTTTAAACTATCGATTGTCAACCAATCAGAGTACTATATTTCTTGTAATTTGTACCCCGTTTCACAAAAACTTAATAGTATTATTAAGGGTTTCAGTCATTTGATTTTCACTAAACTCGATTTTAAATTCAGCTAATAAACCAACACTTTTTGTGCAACTATAGCCCCTCAATTGAAGTCTTCACCCATCGCATATCTGCATTTTACCCTCAAACCGATATATATCAATTGCGTATTTAAAATGGGAATAAACAATCAACATTAAGGTCTTATCATTAAAGGTTCAAGTGTGTGAAACAGGTGGAGTAAAAGATGAGATTAGTTATTCCCTCTGCCATGTAAGATTGATATAAAATTCTCACCCTTCCTCAAGGTTAGCATCAGTAAATTAAACCGACTGATTGAAATTTTGATTAACTTCCTGGCGCTCTCGTGTGTGGACCAAATATTTATTAAATTCATTGGAAACCAAATTACATTCCCTTGCCAGTGTCCTACTTAACAAATAGACTGTGAAAAATGACCAAAGATGGTCATTGACAATCCTATTACTTACATCGATAATCAATATTAACAGAACCTTGCACTGTCTCGTGTCATGTACTTCCAGATACAATAACTGAAAATATTAAATGACAAATGTGTCATTGTGGTTTGTTGAAGATTCGCCTATATCTAAATTAACCAAATCGTCAGCCTAGTTTTATTCCAATATTGAAATAGAATATTGTGGCTTCTATGAAATAGACTCTGTGTGGGGAATCACAGAAATCGGAATACCAAGTAAGTGCATACAAAGCATGGTTGCATAAGCAAGTTAGCTAAATAGGATGAACCATCAAATAGATTATGATATATCGTCGTAGTGTGCAATTTGAAGCCAATGTCGATTTTATTCGCAGTGGAGACTACATCTCAATCTTTGCCGACGTAGGATTTGTGAGATACCACTCTTTCCATTTGTTTGATTAAATTGTTAGCTAAATCAAGAAAGTAATACAGATAAAAGTAGATTATCACTCGTATATTACAGGCTTATCATATTTTTCTCAAGTGCATGATTATTAACCTCTAAAACATGAACATCTTGTGGAATTTAATCATATAATATCTCTGGCTCTGACCTTCTCTAAAGATATACCTCAGACGAGCACACACTATTCCATATTACATGTATTTGGTATTTACGGTAATTATATACATATTATATGTATATCAAGATATATATGTAAATTGTAAATAAATATACTGAAAGGCAACAGAAACGTCACTTCTAAAAATACTGGAAAAAAATAACTGACTCTGGTTCTGTCGTGTTTTTATAGTCTACTTATTAGATTCAACATTCTACTGGTCCTTTTTGTTGCCTTAAAGTTCAGTTTACATTTGTGTTTAAAATGGAGTGGTTTGCTCAAACGCAGTCTTCAAAAATGAAATGGGACCCAGTTGCTGAAAAGTCTCCTCAAAATCATGATGCACGTGAATATCGTGGACGGTATGGGTATAAAAGACAATCAAAACCGTCAGACTTACATTCGTCATTTCGATTTATCAGCCATGCAAAGATTATCAAGACTACAAGCAGAACAGAGTGCATAGTTTGTTGTAAATGCATTCAATGTCAACGTCAGACCGATACATTGTTTGTAACATCGCTACAACACCACCAACAAGTCCGCGTAGTGGTGGTCCAAGAGTTACCACACACAGACAAGATCGTTATATGATACGCCAACAACTGCAGAACCGATTCCGAATGGCCACTGAAACTGCTCGGCAGACCATTGGCAACATCCAATGTGCCATCGGTGTGTACAGTCCAACGTCGCCTCACTGCCAACAACCTCTCCTGCCACCGTCCTGCTCGTGGACCCATCCGGAGAGATCATCACCGACAGGCCCGACTGCAATGGGCTATGCAGCATCAGAATAGGCGTCAACAGCAATGGAGAAGAATCATCTTCATCGATGAAAGTCGTTACTGTGTTCACGGGGTGGGTGGCAGAACAGGACTCGTGGGGCGGTCTAAGCATCATGCTTTTGGGTGGAATTGGACTGAACCAGAATGTGGGGCCTGTGGTGTTTCAGAATATTGGTCCAGACGGGAATCACAGCTCTCCGCTACATTGACCAAGTCCACAGACCCCACAGAACTGCGTGTAACGTTCCTGAGGATATGGGTCCACATACAATGGCCTTTATCAACCGGCTAGTCCACTCCATGTACTGAAGATGTGTTGCTGTAGTCGCCGCCCATGGCGGCCACTCCAGGCACTGATTTTGGACCTCCAGCGTAGGTGTCTCCTGGTGCCTCTCCAAGTTCACAATTTGAAAAAAAAATGTTAATGTTGATGAGTGTCAAACACCGACCAGGCCCGTAGCTAGCCCGGGGTCTCAGGGGGGTGGGGCAAATTGTTTTAAAAACAACTACTATACAACAACTATATGATTCAAAAAGTCAATAAAGAAACTATTAAACATTGAAAACATGTGTATAGTGTTTTACGGGGTTGACAATCAACAATGATAATAATCAACAATTACAGCTGTAAGCGATGGTGTTGTACAGCAAACCTACTTATAAAACAGTTTAAGTCAATTCCTGATGTTATATGGTGTTCAAAGGCCATCAGACAATTAATAGCCTTAGAATTGCTCTTTCTCTATATAAAAAGATGAAAACATGACATTTTTAACGTTATGGTTGAAAAATGTTCAGGGGGGCCAAATATTTATTAGAGGGTGTCTCTTTTGAGAAGAAAAAGGGTCGTTTAGACCTCCCTGAAAAGAACAGTTTTTATACACAGGCAACTTTTTTTATCCGCAACCACTTTCAACCCTTGACCTCGAGTTGAAAGTTGAAAGTTGAAAGTAGAAGGTTGCTGCGTAAACCCAGTTTGAGGACGTAATATTAACTCACACTTCTTTGACTTGTAAACACATTACAGTTTATTGATGGTATGCTAGTATATATTGACTAGATCTGGGTCTAGTTCGAATTTGGTAACTATCGGGTAAAGGTTTTGAAGTTATAGCCCTTGACTAAATACATGCGCGTAGACTCTATTGTACAAACTCAGCATAAATGACTGGATGACTGTAAACAGAAATTCAATGTTTTTGAACTACAAATGCGTAATGAAGATCTGTAATAGGAGAATAGTAGCCATTAACTCTGTGACGATCACACCTGTATCGATGTCTGGTAATCCTTTTGCATTTAATCTTAATCTGTTTAATAAATCAAATCATATAATCCCATAACTAATCCAGTTTAACAGGTTACATGAAAGTGGTAGTTAATACCTAAAGATATTTGAGTGTTATTTGAGTTGTGTCTTAAGAACGTTGGTCCGAGCCTTGTGAATAAGTAGTCCAGATTTCTCGAAAATTTGTGACTACGAACAAATTACAAAATACCAATAAAAAAGATTCTGTTCCTATTTGGTGACATACAAGTGTTATACAAGTCTTACAAGTGGTTCAAGTTGTTTAAAAATTAAACTTACGACCTAACCTGATAATCACAAAATACCAACGCTGAGAGGGTGTCTTCCCGGGAAGTCACCAGGACGAATTTCCAAGTTCTCGGGAAGTCACCGTTTTGTTTTCTTTGATGATTTGAGGTAAATGTCGCCAAGAGATTAAATGTGTTAAGACCTCATTAACGGTGACAAAAATTCATGAAAATTGTTCACTTACATTAATTGAAAATTGTTCACTTACATTAATTACTATTTGAGAGGGTAGAAATTTGATTGGTTATAACAGACGTCATCGAGTTAGGTCAAAAGATTAATCTGTTGAAGAAGGTTTTCGTTAGATCCTAACTGAAGTGGCTATGTTAAAAAAGATGGGGAAAAAGGAACGACAATTTGGTGATGAGAACATAGTCTCATGAACGCATTGGCCTAGGTCACAAAGTAAAGATTCATGATAAAACAAGGTGCATATCTGTATCATTTCTTTAGCTGAAATAGCTGAAAATATAAGAGTCAACATTCTTCTGATATATCAATAATCATCTAAAGATAAAACCTGTATTGTGAAACAAAATCTTTTCATGTATCTATAAGAAAGTAATAAGCATTAATATGAATAGTCATCGTAATAGTCATTCAAAAGAAAAGAAGTCAGAAATTTGAAGGCTATTGAGGGTTAAGTCTACCATGGACTAAGATATTACTGAAGTTTTTATTTCTTCTGTAAGCTGTTACCAGTCTCTTGTTGTAGACACGAGGATATTGGTGTTAAAGATTCTGGTAGTGGCGTCTGATGATATGAGAGGTATTAGTGGCAGTATGATTGTAGGTGGTTGTCGTGTTAAATATTTAAGCCATTAGGATATACAGTTTGAAGTCCATCTAATAACTCTCGCGTTGTAATCTTCAAGCTTTGGTTTGATATTCGGCATAGGTTATATCTTTTCAATAGGCTTAATCAACAAGTCTTCAATGGAATGGTCGGGTTGGTTAAAGTGAATGGAAATTGGTCTGTTTTTGCCATGTACTATATCGTAACGATGGCCGTTAAAGCGATTTCGCAGCGCGTTCTTTGTTTCTCCAATATACTGTATGTCGCATTTTTTTTACATGAAATTAGGTAAATCAGATTTTGGTCTCCGCATGAAATTGGTCAGTCATTAAAAAAGTTTTTCCGGTTTTATAGTTTTTAAAGAAATGAGAAATAGGTACATGTTCGCAGGTACGACACGCAGAACCAGCACAAGGTTTTTAGCCAAATCCAGTAGGCGAAGGAGGAGGGTCATTTTTCTTCTGAAGTTGTAATATTGTTCGTTTTTAATTTGGCGTAAAAATCGTTTTGAGTAACACCTCTCTCGTAATTTATTAAAAACTAGGTTGCATGCGGAATCAAAATCGGTCTGTTGAGTACAAATCCTATGGAACCGTAGGATTTGTGATTTGATAATTGCACAAAATGTATGCTTCTAATGAAACGAGTTTTTGAACAAAAGTTGGTGCGTATCAGTCTCTTTAAAAAATACTTTAATAAAGTAATAATTTTTATCTTGCACAGGTCTTAAACTTCAGAGTAGATTTTCCCAAAATCCACACAAATGAATCTAATTTTACCTACTTCATAAACTTAAACCATTTCTGAATATTTCATGTCAAAGTCTATACGGCAAATTCTCACGGAATATCCATACCGGTGGCATATGATACCTTGTCTGGTACGTTGTCCAATGAATTAAGTCAAATATATTTCTGATATTGATAGAAAACACAAGCCGTGAATGTTAAAGAAATGATTGATGCCAATTAGGCTTTTAGTAAGAATTAACAGGTTTCTATTATCGAGAGACAGTCGGTGGTAGTTGGTACTAACATCCTAAATATTTCTGGCGTTAGTATCAATAACATCAAACTAATGTTAATATGAATGATAATTACCGTTAGTTAAAATCAACAATTGACTTAAGTTATACGTATTATTATTTCATTGGCAAGAGACCGTTGATGGCATCATCCAATTATATCATTGACCTAAAATCTCATTTGGTTTTTTATTGACCTAAATCTATATAATTACTACTATATCAATAATGGATATTATTATCCATTCGTCTTCTATCAAAGTGTTGTCTCAATTTACAAGCCCTGCGAATTGTAATATAATATAAATATCTCGAATTATTTTAAATATTATATAAATGTATTTCATATGTTTGGGTCTTGTTAAATCTATCATGCAGCTATCTGGGAAATTCAAAATTATTTCAAAATCTAAAATTCAAAATGGACATGATACTCGTTTTCTGTTCTATGGATACGATTTACTACAATCTGCAACGCAAACGATGGATGGATACAGTTGTATTCAAATCTGCCTATCTGACTTTTGAGACCAATAATTATTGATCACACTTTCATAGCTTTCTAACTCTATAACCACAACAGTTTCTCTGTCTGCTGGCCAGTTGGACAATTTAGTTTTACGATAAGTTAGCTGGATCGATACAATAGTCTCGCCATATGATAACTGGATATATTTAAAATTAAGTTTAGAATTTATATACGAAAAAAAGTTAATTGATAATTGAAATGTACTTTTAGAGTAATCTAAAAGTTAACAAGACTGAATTGAAAATGATAAATGACATCTGATTACTCGAAACTTGATAATCAGTCACTCTTACAGATAACGTTTTCTACAAGTCTATGATGTACATAATAGTTTGAAACTATGTAATAATAGACTTGTTTCACAATCTGTTAAATAGTTTCACAATAGGTAGCTTGTTTATCCCGATAAGTTTCAAAGTCCGTTAGCTAGACGTATATGTAAGTTTCTGCTGGCTTTGAGAACAGGGTAGTTCCTCAATTTGCTAGGCGAATGAATACTGTAACGGTGTAATTATTTGATGCCTTGGAGGCGATGTCACCAAAACAAAGTCGCCCGTTAATCCTCCATAAAGGCATGTAGTCTCAATAATGGCTAGAGTCTAGGAATATCAGCCAAGTCTTTCTAATCCCCAATTACCTATTTGAAAAGATAATCCACATATATTTATTTATAAGCTGCTAATGTAGTTAAATTGCTATTTTTTGTAGACGCTATAACTATTACTTATCATTAGTGTATATTTGTGCAATTTTCGATGTAAAAGGAATGAAAGAACATTCTAACAGTGTTTTATATTCGACGTATAATTTGACTATTACAATACGACAGATTTAGGGTCTTATTTATTAGCAATAAGTACATACATACTTTCAGCTTGTACACAATAAACAGCTACATAAATAAATGTGACTGTAAGATGGTGTAAGAATAATACATTTTTAAGATGGGTTTTACAAAAGCTGAATATACAGGAGGTGCTAAATTTTTCAGGTGTGTTTAATTATTAAGCAAATGTATTCTTTTCTATACATGGATATGTGTTATAACATTAGGGCAATTTATTGCTACGATACAGTTCCAAGATATTAATATCAAGGTTTAGCGTTTGTATGAAATATGCACTTTTTATAAAAACAAGAGTTATACTTATTTTTTTAGAGTCGAACAATGTCTGTGCAACATTAACAGAATTTATAACGCTGTATTAATAACTCTTCATTGCTTTGAGAAATTGTCATACCTTCTTCATTATCACCACAGGAACAAACGACAAAATAATATGATATACATTCTTTTACTTTTCATTACCTTTTTTCACTTCTACAAAAAGTATCATTTCACGAAAAACAGCATTATTACTCTATTATAAAATAGAATTTATTATTCATAATTGTTAATTTACACAATACAGTATATCAAAGATCACGAGGGAGACGTGGCGAGGCTGCATGTGTTTCTTGATAACAATCTGAAATATTTTAGGCAAAATATTGCTAATTTTTCTGATCCCAATTTTTTTTGGCACCTCTTTAACATTTTTAATACTAGACCAAGTAGCCACATTCAACTTTTCCCATAGAGCTAATTGTCGAATTGGTTACAGAAGAAGCAAAACACTATTTGCAAATGAATTCGGAGATGAAGCGTCAGCTACTTAAAAAGTTATTATCTGCCCCTAAATTTCAACTATGCATGAAATATTCATTACACTGTTAAAGTATCACTAATTGTATTATCTTCTATGTAATATTTATACATTGTGTATTATTTTTCAGTATTTGTAACGGCCGATGAAAAGAATTTGTTAAAATCTAAAAATGAGTGTCCAGAAGGAACATTTCCATGTAAACAAGGTGGTTGTATAAACAGAACTTTAATATGTAATAAAGAATTGGATTGTATCGATGGATCTGATGAGGGGAACTGGTGTAAGTTGAATGCCCTGTTCCTTTCTGGTGCACTAGTTGTTTTTCCTGTAACATGACTGTTTGATACCACCCCAACCCTTTCAACTAAAATATATACAACTTTGCTTCATTAACACCACAGATGCTCTTGGATATGATTCGTCATTAATATATATAATAATCTTTCAAAGGCATATTAGAAGCACGGGTTATAGATAAATAAGACAATTTATAGATAGATACTTCTAGAATATTTCAATGTGGTTCTCACACCGTCATCAGGAATATTCATTGAAACGTTGAAGTAATAAATATTCTAGAAGTATCTATCCATAAATTGTCTTATTTAAATATATATAATGTAAAAAGAGTTTCTATTTTAAAAAAAAAAGTCTTTGAATGAACACTTCCTGAAACAACCACTTCTTCAGATCAGTGACAACAATGGCATCATCCTTCAACAAGGTTTGGTTAGTCATAGTTTATGTGGACATTGTGACCGATAAAATTTCATAATGATCTGCTATGATTTTTTCCAGGTACTGGTTTTGACCTTTAAGAATAGCTTTCTGAAATTAATTGTATATTTTTAGGTGATCCATTCCTCGATGACTATTGGGATCGTTATATTCGTAAACGACCTGATGCTGATAGAGAAGACGAGTCGGCAGAATGTAGTAAGTTGATATCTATTTATTATAATGAATCATTGTCTATGATTACTCTCATATGAGTAGGAAATCTGATTCATGTCAATTAAGACTATTCCGTTTGTAAGTTTAAATGAGAAACGTTACACTAGGGATAATCATCACCGATCAACTATTCTGAACTGCATAACAGTGTGGTAATAATAACATCTTTATTACAAAAGTGTAATTATCCATATATTACCGTGAGCATTAAGATCAGATCCTGAGTAACAACAATATGTCTTCCATTCTGTCCCTTAGCGACAATACAAGCATCAAGCGAATTATCTACTTCCAGTGACAGTGAGATCAGAATTAAACTTTTTCTGTCTTCACAAAATAATATTCAAAACAAAACATGTAATATAATTTACGCAATTTTCTACCAAAGATTTCCGATAAACATAACACTGTTTTGAACTGAATAATATTTCATTGGTTGGAATTTTCATCAACTCAAAGATAATCTTAAACTCTTTCACTAGTATTTTGGGGTTGATATTTTAGTTTGTATAATATGATCGGCATAACGCGATTCTGTAATAGCCCGTCACACCGGACAGCGACCATTTGCGATTTAACTGGAAAGTACTAGATAACAACAGTCAAACGTGAGGAAAACTAGAGAAAAAGTCTATTAAAAATTACAAACGTCAATACAGACGACCTCATATCGCGAGTTATGCGACGATATTGCGTTCTAGAGTTTTTGCCGCGTCTTTGCCAGGCGTATACTGTTTCAAGAGATGTTACAACGCTTGTCTGACCTTCTCGATCCATGGCGTTCTCAACGCTTTCCAGAAAAGATCGCCGAACCTTGGTGTTTGTTTTGAACATGGCGACAATGGCGACAATTACATGATGTCTGGTAGGTAGGTAGGTAGATGACAAGTTAACGTTGGCTTCCAGCGGATGCTGATATCGCAAACTAGGTAGTTGTTGGTAGTCGTAGTAGTTGGTAGTTGGATTGGATCAAATTGGATGATTCGGTGTTGTTGGTTTGGTTGTTGATTCTTCGTTAGATCTGGTCGGGTCGAATAACATGGCGGTGAAACTCGGCCCTGGATGGTGTGGCGTGAGTTACTCGGTCTCCTTCATTCTTCCAAACTCGTTCTGATCATGGTATTTCTTGTTGATTGGTAGTCGAATGGTAGTCGTTGGTTTGGTTTGGTTTGGTTAGGTTATCTGTTGGAAAACTCGAAGACCTGAAAAAAAATGAAAAAAAAAAGAAAGTGAGAAAAAGAGGGAGGAAAGAGGGGGGGCGGGGGGGGGAAGCTTTCACAAAAGGGGGGAGAGATGTTCTCTAATGTTTCTGCGATGAAACTTGTTAAATTGATTGGATATAATTAAAAAGTGTTAAGAAACTTTGAGTACAAAAAACTTAGCCTATCTGTTCAAGACAGATTTGGTTATAAAATGGAAGACTAGTTCCATTATCGTATACCAGTGGTCCGTGGGTGGAGCCAAAACATTCTGTATGGTTAGTGGTATGCCGTTGGTTTCCAGGTACTCTAGTAGTGGCTTACGAGCGGGTTTCAGTTCAGTGCATTGAATGAAGACATGCGACCTTGTGGCAACGTGGCCGCAGCGACATTTAATGGCGTTGAACTGATGGTCTCGTAGTACGTTGTTGGTCCGGAGTCTGGTTGCCACTTTGCAGATGGCTACACATGGATGGTTTGGTTTGGTTTGGTTTGGTATCTTATAACAAAAATGGCTTAAAATATTACCAGTTGTTGTCGACGAATACAATAACAAAATACATTCGTCTATAGGTGTGACGCCATCGCAAGCCTCTAATAACCCGAATATCATAAAGTCCGTCAACACTCGAAACAACTTTGAAAACGAGATTAGCAATTTGAATATTAAACCCAAATTCAAAGTTGGAGATCGAGTTCGTATTTTTAAAAATAAATCATTGTTTCAGAAAGGTTACGTCGGCTATTGGACTAACGAGATATTCATCGTTGATTAAGGAAACAACACATCACCTCCCACGTATGAATTGATCGATCAAGACAAAGAACAAATCATAGGAAGGTTTTATCAAAATGAACTTAAAAAAACTGACTTTTAAAAATGAATCTCGAAAATGAAGATTTAGATGAAAGGTTAAGAAATTTAGATGTCGACAAGCATTTACGCTCTCTTGAATTAAGATTTTTTAAATTTAAATGTAAATTTATCTTCAAAATATTATTGAATGTGCTTTATCAGAATGTTATACACGTTTTTTCAAACACAAACTACGTATATATTTCGTCAATTGGGTCTTCAGCAATACTTTCCGCCTACTTCGAAAAGCACCTAAAAAAAATCAACTTAAAAAATGAATGCATTTCTCGATAAATACGGAAAAGACACGACCACAAATTTTCAACTTGTGAAATGGGTCAAGGAGTTGAACGTCTCGCCGTTTTATTATTGCATGCGAGATGAAATTGATGAACTGAAATACAAGAAAGGTACATTTTACGCCATCACAAACATTCACACGTCGGATCAAAAAGGAGTTCATCACTCTGCTTTACACAAAGATTCTCCGAATAACTTTTATTTCTTTGATTCTTTCGGTCTAGAACCGACAGAAGAGATAACGAAAATGATCTTCGGATCAATCTGGTATCTTGCGGTGTCGAGGTTCCGTAACATGTCAGACCATTTCTGGTTGATCCTAGAAGATACGATACTGCAGAACTCTGAATAGGAGTATTCTACAGGCTCGATATCCTCCAGACTCAGACTTTCTTTGGCACAACGGTCTGCTTGATCATTGCCAGGAATGGAGACGTGCGGTGGAACCCATACTAATTCAATCTTCTGGTTGTTGTTGGTTTGGTAGTTGTGGATCATTCTTCTTATTTCGGAAATAACTTCTGACCTGCAATTAGAAGAGGTGAGAAAAATAGATTGGAGGCTGCTTAGCGAGTCGGATAGAATCGCGGCATGCTCCGTGTGATTGACGGACAGCCATGCTACCGCGTCCCTGATGGCAAAAAGTTCTGCTGTGAACACTGAACAGTGCGGGGGGATCCTTTTACTGATGCGGATGCATGATGTCTGACGCGTCCTCCACTCTTATACCATGCTTATGGCGACCTTTACATGCTCTAAGCCAATGTTCTGTCACAGTAAGGACGCCTTTCAAGTGTGACGGGGCCTTTAAACATTGTTGCCTTAATACGATTGTTATTATATAAAATCACATCTTTTTAGTAGTATATGTCTTTTCGGATATGACGCATTTCACTTCTGCGCATGCGCAGCTTTTTCAATGCGTCATATCCGAAAAGACACAACTGCTAAAATGTATTATAACAGACTTCCCAAACTGTTAAAAATGTATTATAACAAACTCCCCCAAACTGTATTATAAATTGACAAGAATCACTATAATAATACAGTAAAAAATAACCGCATTAAAAATGTCTTTAATTTTAAAACACGAACAAAAAAAATTCGAAGGAGACGGTTTCTTCTCTGCGCTTACATCTCTCATCCCCAAAGTGGCCAATTTTGTCTCAAACAACAAATTTCCTCAGGAGTAGATGCAGTGAAAAAATTTAATGATTCATTTCTATCGCTTGAATAGTTTTCTCCTTGTATTAAATCTTTCGTATTAAAAATATATAGTGTTTATTTCATTATTGAACAAATATGTCTTTAATAAATGTCCATCCTCCTAAAACGTATTTCGGTGCGGGAGACATTCAAAAGTCATTGGGTTCTCTTCCTGGATTCCCATGGGCAAAATATCCCGGAGAAAAACATCTCCCAGGGCACAATTATACAGGTCCAGGCACTAGGTTAGATCTGCGTTTAGACGAAAATGATAATCCCAAACACGACATACTGTACAGAAATAAAGACGTAACATTCAAACACCAAGCAGACAAACAAATGATAGACGAACTCGAAAATATTCCCAATCCCACTTTCAAAGAGAAATTACAGAGGGCTCTTATCATAAAACTCTTGAAGGCAAAATTGAAATTGGGTATGGGCATAGCAGACGAGATTCACAAAGAATTTCGAAAAAACAACGCTTTCCAGAAAAGATCGCCGAACCTTGGTGTTTGTTTTGAACATGGCGACAATGGCGACAATTACATGATGTCTGGTAGGTAGGTAGGTAGATGACAAGTTAACGTTGGCTTCCAGCGGATGCTGATATCGCAAACTAGGTAGTTGTTGGTAGTCGTAGTAGTTGGTAGTTGGAT